TCGATTCTACAGGAGAGAGATGCCAGAGCAACCAAGAAATTCAGGATGAGGTGCAACATTATTTTGACCTTCTTTTTAAGTCCTCTGATCCTCAGGTCAACAGTTGTAATCTCCAAGATATACCAGTGTCCATCAGTGAGGAAATGAACAGAAAACTCACAAAACCTATGGAGGAAGAAGAGATAAAGAATGCGTTAATGGATATAGATCCTAATAAGGCACAAATGGTGTCCCCTGCCTTTTTTCAAAATTCTGGGTTTATTGTGAAACACCATTTGTGCCTTGCTGTTAAGAATTTTTTTGCTTGTGGTAGAATGCCTAGGGTGGTTAATCATACTATGATCTCACTAATCCCTAAAAAGAAAATGGCCACTAAAGTAGGTGAGTTCAGACCAATTAGTCTTTGCAATGTCTCCTATAAAATTATAGCCAGAATTCTTGCTAACAGACTCAAAGCTATATTTCTCATTGCATTTCTCCAACTCAGTCTGTTGTCATTCCTGGTAGACAAATTCTAAACAATGTGATCATTGCTAATGAATGCATACATTTCACAAATAGCAAAAGAAAAGGCAAATATAAGTTTATGGCAGTGAAACTTGATATGGCAAAAACATACGATAGAGTAGAGTGGCCGTTTTTTGCTAAAGTGTGTAAACCATGGGCTTCTGTGATAAATTTGTTACTTGGATCCTTGTTTGCCTTTGTTCTACTTTTTTCTTTCAATAGTAATGGTCAAGTATTGGGTTCTGTCACTCCTTCTAGAGGTATTAGACAAGGAGATCCTCTTTCTCCATATCTGTTCATTATTTTATCTGAAGCTTAATCTAATCTTCTAAAACAAGCCAGCTAGAATGGGGTTTTGTTTGGTCTTAGAGTTACTAAACACTCTCCCTTATTGACCCATCTTTTCTTTGTTGATGATGTCGTTCTCTTTTGTAAAGCCTTTTCTTCTCAGGTTAGGGTCTTAATGCAAATCTTACATGAGTATGGTTGTGCTTCTGGTCAAATCGTTAATTTAGATAAAATCCTATGTGTCCTTTTCTAAGAATACTCCTCCTCATTCTGTGCAGGAAATTTGCTCTGTGTTAAATGACATTGTTTGTGTTTCTTCTACAAAATATCTTGGTTTGCCTCTTGGAATTGGGAGGTATAAGAGAGAGACCTTTAGATTTGTGTGTGATAAACTAAAACAAAGAGTGGCTAGTTGGAAAAACACTTTTCTGAGTGAGGCAGAGAAAGAGGTGTTAATTAACACTATTATTAATGCACTCCCAGTCTATGTGATGGCTTCTTTCATGCTTCCATTATTTGTTTGTGCTGATGGTTGTAGAGTGGTTGCCTCTTTCTGGTAGGATAAGAATGAGAGTGGAAATGACAAGGTCCACCGGGCTTCTTGGGAGAAGTTGACTAAGAGCAAGGAGTCAGGGGGTTTAGGGTTTAAGAATCTGGTTGCTTTTAATGGATCCCTCAGTGCTAAACAGCTTTGGAGAATCATTACCCAACCAAACCTCTTGTTAAGCAAAGTTCTTAAGGGTAGGTACTTTTATAGAGGGAATTTTTTTGAGGTGAGGAAAAAGAATAATGACTCTTGGCTTTAGAGTAGTTGGTTGTCTGTGAGAGAGAAATTTAAGAAGAGAGTGCGATATCAAATAGGAGATGGGACTTCATTGTCTATATTAGATTCTCCTTGGGTGCTCAACCTGCCTTCTTTTAAACCTTTTTATGTTTTTTAGAGTGACAGGTCTAGGTTACTAAAAGTGAGTGATTTGTTGTTAGATAGTGGTAGAGGGTGGCATAGAGAGCTAATAGCACAAACTTTCTCTCCTTTTGAAGCTGCTGAAATCCTCAAAATTCAGATTAGCCTCTTTAGGAGGAAAGATAGATTAGTGTGGTGTTTGGAAAAAAAATGGTAACTTCACTGTAAAATCTGCTTATGCAAATTTCAAAGTTATTGGCATAGGTAATGCAGAGACAACCAGTTCCAGTAATGGAAATTTTTAAGCCAAATTGATGTTGAGACAGACCTGGAAACTGAATATCCAGCCCAAGATTAAAAACTTCATGTGGAGGCTCATCAATGGTGTTCTGAGTATTATGCAACAACTACTGAGAAAGAGAGGTGCTGAGAATACAATTTGTAACCTTTGTGGAGAGGAACCAGAGAGTATAAACCATCTTTTTGTTCAGTGCCCAAGGAGTAAAAGATGTTGTAAACTGGTAGGTTTAGGCTGGGAGGAGTTCAAAAAATAGAATTTCAACTTCTTGAACTGGTGGACTGAATTGTGTGACAGCATGAGGACTCATAGGAAGTAGGACATAATGGCAGTGTCTGTGTGCTTACTTTGGAAGGCTAAGAACAACACAGTATTCAGAGGAGATAGCTTTCAAGAAGAAGAAGTGGTAGCTGGGGCTAAGAGTGATTGGCTGGAATTTGAGGGTCATGACCTTATCAATTAGCAAACTGGTAATTCTCATCTGGTCATGGAGAATTTGAGAAGATTTTTCTAAGGGAGTAGGACTTGTGCTTTTGCAGGTCAGTGCTCTAACTTCTTTTGAGGGACTTGTTGGGGCAGGATTAGTGGCCAGGCTAGGAGACCAAATTTTATACCAAAGGCAGAATCGATGGAGCTGGGATGGGACTCAAGAGGATTCTTACATGCTAGGAATCAGGTGGGCACTTCAAATGGCTGCTTGTAAGGGATGGGATTAGATTGGATGCTATATTGGGTCCAAGAACTTGGTGGCTGGATTGACTGAAGGAAGAATGGATTATTTGGCAGTGAGTGTGCCCTGTAAAATTGTTTGGGACGATGTGTTGCATTTTAAGTTGTTTTTGGCTTGTTTGTTCTTTTTTTCTTCTCCTTCTTTGGTTAGTAGGTGCCTGGCCATGTTGGCCCTCGAGGGGGAATAGGTTGTTATTTCTCCGGGTGTAGCCTATCTGCAGTTGGTGTTAAAGAAGGTTATTTGTGTTCTGTTGAAACTGTTTTGAGTTTATTTATAAATTTAAGCGTTTGGAAAGAAAAAAAAAAGGTAGAAAAAAACAAGAATTGATGAATACCTTTAGACGCTTAAATAAATAGATAGAAAGACAAAATTATTCGTATGACACATAGTTCTCACCATTATAAAATTATTCGTACGACACAAAGTTCTCACCATTATATTGCTCGGCAACACTGAGCAACCTAGATTTGTCACTAGCGTGGAGAAAGTATAAGAGAACAAATTTTTGGTTGGTATTGTCATCACCATAAAAAAAAAATGTATATAAAAACAATAGAAAGAATTTGTAATAATAATCAATTTTTTGTGAATATAAAATCAAAATATGCGGATCAATGCGATTATGAGTGCCGAAGCAAAGATCGGATCAAAAAAAGAAGAAATCTGAACGAAAAATACCATATCAAATAAAGTAGAAGAATTTTCTAATGAATACAACGAGAAGAAAACTGGAGTCTTTACCTATTGCAGCAAAAAAAGGCAGTTAGTTGGGGAAACCCAGTTACCCTTTTTAGTTTTGTTCAGTTACAACCTAAGAGCATCTCGAATGGTGAGCATGGATTGCACTTTAAATTGATGTCTTTCTGTCCACGTGGAATGAATGGAAAGACATATTTCTAAATAACTCCCAGTGGTAAATGTCTAGACACGGTTTGTGTGTTTTTTTTTTTCTTGTTCTTCTAAAAAAAGCCAAACAGACAAAATACTATAAATTATACTGATATTAAATCAAAGCTTTGTTGGATTATGATATTATTTATTTTTCGAAGAGCTACCACCCGTTCTCCTGATATTATTTTTGTATCGATATTTTTTGAAGAGTATCCATAATTATATATGTTAATGTGTAATTTTAATCAAATATATACCATTAAATTTATAATATAATTTTAGAAGTGTTTTAGGTATTTTTGTATTGGTTTTTTTTAAGAGTGTCCATTATTATATTTGTTAATGTATAATTTTAACAAAATATATACCATTAAACTTATAATATAATTTTATAAGTGTATTAGGTATTTTGTATCAGTATTTTTTTAAGAGTATCCATTATTATATATGTTAATGTATAATTTTAACAAAATATATACCATTAAATTTATAATATAATTTTATAAGTGTTTTAGGTATTTTGTATCGGTATTTTTTTAAGAGTATCCATTATTATATATATTAATGTATAATTTTAACAAAATATATGCTACTAATTTTATAATATAATTTTAGAATGTTTTGTTGTTTTTTCTCTCAATAATTATGTGCGTTTGACAGTTTATGAGACATTATTAACCGAATTTTATATTTTAATTAAAATAAAAAAATAAATGAAGGAAAAAAATGAGTAATCAAATCTAGAAGTACTTTCACATATAGAAAGACTTCTAAAATAATTCATTCTCTTCATGCCACATAAGCACAAATAGAAGTAAAAAAAACACTTGAAGAAGATTTTTATGGGATTACTTCTACAATCCTCCAATAGACATTCCATTGGAGATGCTCTAAGGTAACTAAGTAAAGCACAATTTCTACAGATGGAAAATACAAAGGTATATACATGAAATTAAAATGAAATGCATATTTACTAATAAGCATAGATAGGGAGAACAATTGCCAAAATAATCTCATCTGTTATAAACCTGAACGAAAACAGCCGAAGGCATGGCCATTTTACCAAACTTTGCATACATATCCTGCTAATTTCTGGCAATTTTGTTCTTTACTTGTATAGAACTGTAGTTC